GGAAGATAATTTTTAAGCTCTGAAAGGAATATCAGGATGAGAATGGTACTCGTGATACAAGATGAGAGTAACTCTTACTGAAGTTGGCATATATTGCTGCATTAGTTTGGCAAACTGTTCTGTACTGTGGAATTCATGTAGGCCAGGAATTCACTGGTCCTTTCATCAGCAGACACAGGTCCCAATTCATTGCTTGTATAATTGCATTTAATATTGTTGCATTATACTGGAAATGACCTTGGCCCACAATACCATAATGCAATCCAGTAGTTAGCACAAAATTAGAAAAAATATTTTTGAAAGCCCACTCATAACTTTACAAGTTGGGCAAGTTTTGAGTAGAGTGATATGTACTCAGCATTTAAAGTGGGGGTAGGGAGAAGAATGAATTGTAGTTTACCAAAGAAGAATCTCAAAGTTAGGAATGAAAACGTTCTTAAGATATTTATAAGCTATGTTTAATAAATTTACCTTATGGAAAGTAATTTTGGACACCTGAACAGATTATGTGTGTGTCTTTGAATTGGTGCAATGCTCTTTATTTTTTACTCAAAATGTGTTACATTGTGTGGAAGGAATTGCTTTAATGCTTTTGAACTTGGGTATCAAGTTAATAAGATAGGAGCACAAAACAAAGGTATCAAGAGTAACTTTTAGGTAGGGAGGGAGGTGGGGAGTTAAGTTTTAGGTAGGGAGGGGAGGTGGGGAGTTAAGTATACTGGTCCAAAATAATGAAGTAATGCTAACGAGCACAAGCCTTCCCTGCTATGGCAAGAAATTATTAATCTTTCCAGGCTGGATTCAGAAAGTCACCCAGGAATTGGGCTATTACTTACACTGTTCGCTGGAGGCCAGTAGGGATTTTGTGACCCATTCCCTTCCTAGCAGAAGCAATTGCTCAATTGGGCAGAGAGCTATTACACTTGACATGTTGACCACAGCCTACAAAGATCCATGGGAAATCATATTTTAATACGTTTGTCACTTACTGTCTGGAAAGTGGTGGTGATTGAGACTCTCCAGTTGTCTGAATTTTCTCTTTGTGTGTTTGTATCATTAAATAGAATGTTGTCTCTGGTATTATTACCATAAGTTTTAGCAAAATTACTGCATCATAATAGTAGTCAGATCTTTTACTATTGTTATGGGGAAGTATTTTTTCTCCTTTTATGACTACAGAAATGTATAGCAATAGTTAAAGTGCAAAGCCAATAAACCTTATTTTCACCTGTTACCATTATGTGAGTTTGTGACTGAATTTCTTCATGCTCAATTTTTTAAAATCTCTTAAAAAGAAAATACAGTCAGAATATTATAAATTCCATCTTTTGACAGTTTTACATTGTGGCTTTTAAGTCTAATCAAAAGGAGATTGTTACTGTCATTAGAACTACACGTATAGCCCTCCTGAAAATGCTTGAATGAGATTTACAAGTTTTGCTCTAACGTCCTCGCTGAAAATCTAGATTTATTAGCTACACTAACATTTTATAAGCTTTGCCTATCAGAGGGGTTTCAAAACTTTGCCAAATCTGAGGATCACTTTGAGAAGCAAGCTTGAGCCCATTACTTAGTCCCAGTTCAAGAAAGTATGTTCTTAAGTTCATCCCTGTTCACCAAAGTTCTCGAATACTTGTTCACAACCTCGCTTACCCTAGACTATAGGGATAGCAAGCAGTCTACCACAAAATGGTCTGATGTGGCTCATGAAGGTGTGATGTGCCACAAGAGATTGATGGCACAGGGCTGCAGTGTGCTACCTTCACCCCATAGTTTTCCCCTCCATTGCAGTTTTTTGCTCGTCCAAGTCTTGTGTTTCCCTCACTGCAGAGGGGTTGGAAGTCTACAAGGGCAAGCTCAAGCAGCTGGTCTTCAGCTCTGTGGGGCAAACACTTCTGGTCCGCAGCTATAACTGGGTCACAAGCTCCAGCTGACACTAGTGAAAGGATACCAGCCCTTTCTATGGATGTGTGATGCTGTTGTGAAGCTATCTAATTTCCCTGAAAGTCAATGGGCCAGTTTTTGGAAGACCTATTAGAACCTGGATAAGTCCCTTAGCATACAAAATATATATTTTTAGATATGTTTTTGCAGCAATATTCAGGTGTATAACATAAACTATCCTATTCCTGGGAAAATAGACAAGATAGGGAAATTCCATCCTAACGAAGACAGCAGTAGAGATCAAAAAAATATAAATTGCAAATTATTGTCACTTGCTGCTTATTTTGTTTTTCGTTGAATAACTGATCCCTGATATTCTGTCTATGTTTGAGGGTTTTACAGAAAATCTGAGGATGACAGAGAGCCATTTGGCCTACTGAGACTTATCGTTACATCATTTTTCCCAGAACAGTACCTAACCATTCTTAGATTGATTATACCTCAAACACCTTGCCTCCAAACCCATTCCAAGGATTTATTATTGTTGGAAAATGCTTTCTAATGTCTGTTTTGAGAATATTTTTCCTCCTAACATTTACTTCCCATAAGGTCTCTTGTCTCATGTACGTGCTATGATTAAAAAAAAAATCACCGAAGATGACACACTCTGTGGTAGCTTTCGGAACATGTGCTAGATCCTTGTTTCTCAGTCTTTCTAGATCCTTGTTACTTTATGTTATCATTTGATTTTTTCCTTTTCCCTTTTCTCAATTGGAATTTAGACAGTTCATCCTAAAAATTGATTTGCTGGCCTTCCTTAAGAGCTGTAATATATCTTATAGTAGAAAGTGGTTGAGGCCAAAAATAGTAGTCTAATCAGACCATTATACTGCAGCTATAATGTATAATCATGTTGCACTAGCAGCCCCAAAAGCCAGACATGAGAAGAAAAAGATATTTTTTTAATAGTACCATTTTCATCTGGTTATAAATTTCAGAACCGAACCCTTCAGAATGACTAATTTATTTGAGTAGCTTTTACTAGGCTAACTCCCTCGCAGTAGATCTGGGATGGAAATATTTCTTTCTACTATAGATATGCAATACTGTTATTTTCTATACAGGTCTGGATAGATATATTGGTTGAAAAATGAACAATTAAAGAAGATTGCAACTTGTACTTGAGAAGAATGATTAATACAGCTCTTCATAAGCCTATCCTAGCAAAAATATGAATCTGTTCTCAGAGCTGTGCCAGTTCCCACAAGACCGCAGATATCATTTTCTTGGTAGGCTGACCTATGCAGAAGGAAGGTTAGGCTACCATTGTAGCCTTCTGTTACAGAGATCTGAGAGGATACTATTTTTTTTCTCTTTCTTTTGGCTCTCATCGCTTGTAATATTAATTCTTTATTACTCCATATGTAGTTTGTATTTGCATGTGAAAAGAAAGGAGTTAGCTATATGTGTCAGGCATTTGGCATAGCATTTTGCATAGAAATCATCTAAACTGAAGGGCCTTGGTCTATAGTGAAGAAATTAAGTATCCGTTACATATGAAGTGAATGTTTACTTGATCACCCCTTGCTCCTCCCTTCCTCCATGTCCATATATGAAAGAGTTGCACTTAGGGCAGATATGGCTGCCAAGGTTAGAGAGGCAGATCAAGGAAATGTTGCCCTACGCTCACCTAATTCCTCACATAATATTTTTCTCCCACTTCCCAGTTAGGACAGTGTAACTACAGGCCCTGGCAAGTAGAGGCTT